GCCATGGCATGTGAACCACAAACAAGCCACAAAGAGAACCCATGGGTATTTGGTGGGTTGTGAACTGTAGTTTGTGCACACAGTTTGTTATCTCAGCCGGGGTCAGACCACACGATGGCACACACTTGGAGGGCGCACGCTTGGACAGCGCCCATGTGTCAGTGGTGGCCTCCAGCTGGGCTGATCCGCATCTCCGCAATGCAGCGCACTTCATGAGCCAGGAAAGGGATGTAGAGCAGCTCTCCCCAAGGGTGGGAGCCAGGAAGGCCTGCCAGCGGGCTCCAGGAGATCAGGGTCCCCACCCCCCTTCTGACTGAGGGATGCTCATAGGGTCCTTCTGAGCAGTCATGGCCACAGAGCCCAGAAATCTGCATCAGCCAGGACTGGACCTCTCAGGTACACTGCCCCCCACCCCCCCGCGAGGGTGCCGCAGCACTGCTTGCTGACACCCCTGCCTGGGCCTCCGCACCCCCGCGGAGAGCACTGCTGCACCAGGAAGGGCTCCTCTGAGGTGTTCACGGTGCTCCCTCCCCTCCACCTTCTGAAGGTGGCACTTTATGATTTGAGAGAGCTGGCCTCCCAGTTGTAGTTCAGAAACAAAGCGCACTTCAGCACTCAGAGGTTTGGGCCATGCTGATCTGATGTGCAAACCCCGCACTTAAGGACAACGCAAGAAGGGGCCTGGGCTGAACGGTTGGCTTTCCTTGAGCACGGTGCTCCAGTCACTGTGAGATATTGAAAAAAAAGTCACACCAGGAACCTCCTGTGCCATTCGGGAATTCTACTGGAAACACATTCAAGAGCAGGGCTGAAAAGCATCTTCAGAGGGTTCACACACAAACACATACACCCGTGTGCCCTCTTCCAGCACAGAAATCTACGGTGATTCCCTCCTGCCACCCCACAACAAAGCGGCAGCAACACTTTGTGCACCAGCCTCTTCCAACCTGCTGGATGTGCTACAAATGTGCTGGATGTGAACTCCTATCAGCCCCAGCTAGCATGGCCAGCAGTGCCGAGGCCTGAGGTCCACCACACCTGGAAAGTGTCCGGCTGGGGAAAGGCCATTCTTCCATACCATGCGTAAGACCCGGGAAAAGCTCGCCGAGAGCCCACAGGGCTTCCCAAGACCTTTTGCTGCTCAAAGCCACCCCGCCACAGTCAGAGCTTGCTGCAAAAGCACCCGGATGACTGTCCCTGCCCCCCCCTCCGTGCTACCCACCCCAGCAGGGCCCTGGCAAGGGCATCGCTTCACGCGCAGAGTATGAAGTCTGCTGCCGGCCCTCTGGGCTGCCCTTGCAAAGCCCCACTAAGTGCCTCCCCATCGCAAGGTGGCTGGACCTGGAGTGCGGGGACTTTGCTGGGGCTGGGGGTCACCCTCCCCCATGCACCTTGACTGCACACGCTGCCCAATTGTGCATGCGGGTCCCCGGGGAGGTAGTTTACCACTCAAACGCGACAATACAATCACAACCAAAACTATAAATACATCAATTCAAATGCTGAAGAATATTCCAACATTAAAAATCCTAACAACCCAGCAGTCAATGCAGTCCTGGGACAATGGAATAATGAGTCACTGCCCCTTGGAAGAGGAAGTTCTTATCCTGCCCTCTAATGAATATGGATGACCCTGGACAGACCTGGCTGGCAAGGGCATTTCTCGGACAGGGGCCACTACAGAGAAGTCCACTTCCCTGGAAGTTGCCTGTTGCCCTGTGGCGGGGGGAGGGGGGGCAGCGGCACCCAGAGAAGAGCCTTCCAATTTTGCCTTTGCAACCAGGCAGGAATGTGTGGGAGAAAGTGCTTCTCTGAGTAATTAAAAGCTAATTAAGCACTTAGGGTTGATAAACCGATTTAAACTGAATAATTATCCAGTTTACCCTGGTATGCGACAGTGGGGGAGGAGCCCCCCCAAACCGCCACTGGAGGCTTCTGCAAGTGCACAGAATGACAAACTTGCTCTAAGTCTTATGGCTTGATGAACCAAGGACACGCCTGTCTCCAGGCCAGGGGCGCTTCATCTGATTATGCCCAGCTAAACCTTGAATAATGTTGATTTCCATCGATTTCTTTAACGACTGATTTAAACAAGGTCATGCTGAACCTGCAGCCACCAGTCATTGGCCAGGCGAGAGGAAGGGAGAGAATGGGACCCAGGAGAGACCCGCAGCAAGAAGGCCAAGCAAACGCTGCTGCGGTGGGGCCGTCCGCTCCGCTGGATGCGGCCACGGTGCAACGGGGATCGGGTGCTGCCCCTTTGCTGGGCCACTGACAGTCGCCCTCTGGGGATCACCACAAATAGAACACTGTGTGTCCTTCCCCGGGCTGCCCACTGCCAGCATTTCCACTGGGCAGGAGTCTGGCCCTGGCGGGTGGCTGGGGCAGGGAGGGCCAGAGGAGCAGACCTCAAGGCAGCCAGCCTCTGAAGCACCGGGCAGGCTGCTGGTCGGCACAGCCCCCCGGCACTCCGCTCAGCTCGGTACCAGCCGGCCAGCTGGCCTCTGCGCCACCCGTTGCTGGTCTGTGTGGCGGAGGCAGGCAGAGTCAAGGGGCCACTGCAGAGGGGCCGGGTCAGGGAAAGAGGATGGCCCCACACAGGCAGGCCCGGTGCTGCACAGACCCCAATGGCAGGGGGCAGAGGGAGGAATAGGGGCTGCCATGGCCTCTTCCCAGCAAGCACAGGGGCACTTCTTGCTGGGGACTCACCAAAGCCCCTTTCCGTGTTGCATTTTCCAGGCTTGCTTGCAGGAGCTGGTCCGGCTGTTGAACAGAACAATGCCATTCAAACCCATCTTCCAGATGCCTTTGCTACAATTTCCATCAGCCCCAGCCAGCATGGCATTTGGCCATAATGGTACTGGGCAGCCCTGCCCCACCGGCATCTCCCTGCTGCAGACCCTGGAACCCTTTTGATAGAGTGCCCTGCTTGGCGGCAAAGTTGTCATGATTTCCTGTCCGGGGGGCTCAAAACAGAAGAGAGAGGCCAACCCGTTCTTGTGAATAATAATGCCAGGACTCACGAGGCAAGAAGAAAACAACAATGTGCCTTGCTCTCTTTGCTCAGCCCAAGCCTGAAGGGGAGCAGGCCTGGAACCTGGTCCCCGCACTGGGACATCTTGTCCAGCCCCTCCTGAGGTCTAGAACGGGGCCAGAGTCCTCTTGGCATGACACTGCTCAGGCTGGGCCCCAGTGCCAAAGCAGCCGCAAGCGGGGCGAGCTCCAGTGCACCCCTGCAGCCAGCCCGCCCCGTGACTTGAGCAAGCGTGGCATTCACACCTGGTGTGCTCCGAAGCCAGGCCTGACCCTTGTGCTGCTGTGGCGCTAACGTCAGGAATGCAGAAACAGGTTTAACGGTGTGGGGGGTGGCGGGGAGGAGCAATGAGCCACACTGGCTGTGCGCCCCACGGCAAAGCCCGGAGCAAGAACCCCTTGAGCCCATTAAGTCCAGGTCCAAAATGTTGCAGACCTGCCTTTGGGGGCCCCTTTTCTGCACAATCAAGCACCGCGTGTGTCAGTTTTGGGGCACGGAACACCACGACCCCCTTGCAAGCTTTGCCTGACTCCTTCTGCAGGGGGCGCTGCATTCATCTGTAGCACCAAACACAGGAGGAGTCTGGGCAGGCACCCTAACCCCTACCCCAAGCCTGCCATCACTCGGCGTCCCCAAAGCGGTGCTGCCCGCTGAGAGTCGCACTGGTCCAGTTGCCGCCCCTGGAATGCAATGACTCGGGTGACACACGCCAGCATTGCCCCAGGGAGCCTGGCCTGCCAAGCAGTCGGGAGAAAGCAGGAAGTCGCCCTGCAGAGGCTGAGGTCGGCTCCCCCGAACCCGGCTACAAGCCGCCCCTGCAGAGGAAACCCTGCTTCCAGGCACCAGGGTGCTGCTGGGCACGCAAGAGAGTTGGGTCCTGGGCTCCCAGGGTGCAAATCTGCATAAATATCACATTTATATTCATGTACCCACATTTGGAAATAGCCATGATGGTTTGTTGACATTCAAAGTGGCCCATTCAATCCTCATCCAGACCGCCTCAGACAAAGCAAATTCTTCCGCTAAACTGCACTGGGATTCACAATCTCCCAAACCAAACGAAAAGGTTCTGTTTCTAGCGTAATAGTCATTCGGGAGAAGATTTTGGGGAGAGGACCTGTCCCAGCATGTGGGGGGGAAGGAGGGTTAATGCTCTCCTCCCCAGCTGGAATTTTAGCAACCAAGACAGAGTGGGGAAACCGCTCGTGGGCACTTGGGGCTGTGTGGAATAGCTACAGGGCCCTGGGAGGAAGACCTGGGGCCAGGCCTAGCAATATCAAGGCTGGAGAGCACATGAGTTGCGCAACAGTTGGTTTAAAGGGCCATGGCAGGAAAACAGGAACGGCCCCGCAGGATCTGGCCACCCAGAGCTGAGCCATTTGCTCTCAATATTTCAGCCAGGCCTGAAGCAGCTCATTCAGGACACAACGCTGGACCGTACGCATGTCCAGAGATGGCTGTCCCACCCCTGGGGCACCCTTGCTGGTCTCCACTGCCAGTCAGACCAAGCACGTTCAGAGCCTCTCTCTGCCTCCCACCCCGCCAGGATGGTGGCCAAATGCAGACGGTCCCAGGGAGAGAGAAGCACTCGCTTCACACAAGAGATGCTCCCTCTCCGCACTTATGGACACATTCCATCCTTTCCTTCTGTACTTATTCGGCATAAAAGCCTTCCGTTAGCATCGTGCTCTGCGCTCATCATCCCCGGTCCTGAGAACACCCCTCTTGTCTGTCCAGGGCACATTCAGGGCCCTCCTGCTGAGTCGGAAAGAAACGCTTCCATTCTCCAGACCCGGGCGGATGAGAGAAACGAAAACGCCTCGCCTCCGCACCAGAGCTGGGCATTCGCGCGGAGCCTCGGCGGCCTGCGCGCCGCCCCGGTCAGCCTCCGCCCGCCCTCCCGCGGCGACCTCCTCCGCAGAGCAGCCGAGCGCTCCGCCAAGGCCCTTCCCCTGTAGACACTCACCGGTTCCGCCTGGCTCCCGGGGGCGGGCAGCCCCCTGGGGACCCCGCGGCCCTCGCCAGGCGCGCTGAAAACGCGCGGGCGCTGCCGCATGGCCGCGTCCGAAGAAGCTCCACGGGGAGGCCCCCGCTTCAGCGGCGCCCGCCCCCCCCCCCTCATCCGGCCGCCGCTTCTGGGCCCCGCCGAGCCCGCGCGGGCGGCTCTCCCCTCCCGCGGCCGCGGGCGCTCCGCGGAGACAAAGCCATGGCCGAGCCGGCCGCGGGGAGCGGAGCGGGAGGGAGCTACCACTCGCCTCCCGAGGAGAGGAAGGCCGCTGGAGCGTACCATTCTCTCGCTGCACCGCGGCGGCGGGCGAGGAGGCACGTGCGCCTCCCGCGTCGCAGGAGGGGGGCGCGCCGCGGGCAGCCGGCAAAGGCAGCGGCCGCTGGCAGGGTCCGGGGGCGCCCGGGCGCGCTTCCTCCGGCAGCCGACGGCGCCGAGTGCCGCCCCCGAGCCAGCGCTTCTCTGCTTGCGACGCGGAGCACCGCCGGCCGCCTTGCCCGCGCTGTTGGCAGTGACGGGAAGGGAGCAGCGCAGCCCCACCGCCTCCTGCGATAGTCATACCTAACACTGGCTCGCTGGGTGGTTCCCAAAACTCAAACACTAAAATGCAAGCTGATAAAGCATAGCGAAAAGTCTTTAGCAATACACATTTAAATGATTTAAAAGAGCGAAACCCAAAGGAGTAGCAGCAGCACGTCAGGCCCAATGAAGCAAACTGGCACCGATCGCAGTCGACGGAGGGTGCAAATGAGTGAGGCGGGCAGGCAGGCAGGCAAGCAGCAAGAGAGATTCCAAAGTCCATCTTTCATCTCCAATTGCCAGGCCTCCAAAAACTTTGCATTACCACAGGGAAGAGCAGTGCTTGCTGGGAAACCCACTTCCTCCCATTGCTTGTGAGGACTACAGCCAAGCTCAGAGGCAACAGGGAATCCTGAGTGCTGGTCACTAAAAAGGGCCACCCCGCACCCCGCCAGCCCTGGCTCACTGCACCATCTCTGCTTTCGCCACTCCTGAGCCAAGCAAAGGGGTTGCTGCCCCCTACAGAAGGGCACACCAGACAGTAAAACTGGATAGATCGAGAGACCCAAAATACATAGAACAGGATATGCAATCATTAAACAGCTAGTTAAATACTCTGCCTACACAACGTGGAGTCTGCAAGCAGCTCCACATGGCCCCAGAGGGCGCCAGGGCCAGGAGCTGGGCTGCCTCAGGAACAGCCCGTCCAGGGAGCTGCCTCCTGGGTCACAGTTGGCAAGCCAGGGCTCCTCTGGAGGACAGGCAAGGCGTGGCTTCCCCCAGAACCTCCCAGCCCTGGATGGTTATCCATTCAGTGCTCCGTTAGCAGTTTCCGCTCACGCAAGCCTTTTTCCATCCCGTGAGTGCTTCCTCTGTCTCCAGCTTGGCACCTCCTCCCCTCATATTTCCGCTGCTTTGACATGGAGCAGGCATGCAGTGGCCTGCAAAGCTGGCATCCTGCAAAATGCTGTGGAGAAGATGCCGAGCCGACTGGCCTGCCTGCAGAGCCAAAAGCACCCGAGTGAACACGGGAGGGCAGGCCAGCCCCTAGAATCCCACCAGACTAACTTACTCTCATTTTTTGACTGGGTAACCTTCCAAACCTTCCACATAATCCACCTCGACTAGCAAAGCTTTCAGCATAATGCCCCATGACAGTCTGATAAGCAAATGAGCAAAAAGTGAACTAGATAGAAAAACTATTAGGTGGATCCAAAATTGGCTGCTGAATAAATTGGACAAACAATGCTCATCAAGGGCACTTTCTCAAACTGGATGGAGGTAACTAATGGGATGCCTCAGGGTTCAGTCCTGGGCCCAGTGCTCTTCGACATCTTGATTAATGATTTGGATGAGGAAGTATAAGGAAAGATCATCACATTTGCAGATGATATAAAACTGGGTGCAATAGCAAATACCCTGGAAGAGAGAATGAAGATCTAGGGTTATCTTGATAAATTTGAATGCTGAACCCAACAGAATGAGATTCCACAGGGACAAGGGACAAGTCCTCCATGCAGGAAAAAGAAACCAAAGACATCGATACAAGATGGGGAATATGTGGACTGAAAAAGAAAAAGACCTTGGAGTTATTGTGGACAACAAGCTAAATATGAGCCAACAACACGATGCATCTGCAAAAAGGGCCAATGCTATTTTGGGATGTATTAATAGAAGCATCACTTCTAAATCACGAGAATACTCCTCACTATTCAGACCTCACCTGGAATACTGTGTCCAGTTCTCGGCACCAAGATTTAAGAAAGATGCAGGAAAATTAGAAAGGGTGCAGAGAAGGACAACAAAAATGATCCAGGGTTTGGAAACACTGCCCTGTGAGGAGAGACTGAGGGAACTGGGCATGTTCTGCCTTTGGAAGAGAAGACTGAGTGGGGACATGATATCCCTCTATAAATCCCTCAAAGGCTGTCACAAAGAGGAAGGTCAAGATCTCTTCCTGCTGATGCCAGAGTGCGGGACACGGAATAATCAAGTCAAGCTGTGACAACCCAGATTCAGGCTGGACATCAGGAAAAGCTTCCTCTCTGTCAGAGGAAGTGGCACTAGCTGCCTGGAGAGGTGGGGGTCACAGTAGAGGCATTCAAGGCGAAACTGGAGAGCCATCAGTGTGGGATGGTGTGACTTGGTGTCCTGCAGCAGCAGGAGATTGGACCCGATGGTCTTCTTGGCCCCTTCCAACTCCACTCTTCTATGATTCTGTGAAGCAAAGGGAACGGGGCACTTGAGACCTTGAGGCCCCACCCATTCTGCATCTTGTGATCTCTGAGAAAAAAATTAATTCTGTAAGATGAGGATCCACTAAGCTCATCTGGACGGAAGAGGCTGCCCACTGCATGAGCTGCAATTTAGGCGTTGCCTCCTTCTACTGACCCTCTGCTGGGTTGGCCCATTAGTGGCACCTCAGCATCAACTGTGACTGATCTGAGCCATCATGCCTTCCCCAGGGCATGTGGGCTGGAACCTCTTTGTTCCCCCACCATAGTACAGTTTCCAGGACACCTGCACCAAGCGTCTTTGTTCCAGCACCTGGAAAGCTGCTCCTTGCCACCATCCTGGCTCAGCCCCCCCCCCCCCCGCCCCATAGGCACAGGCAGGGCTGCTCCCTCCGAGCTGCCCGTGACTGACAGGACGCCTCCACTGGGAAGGAACATTCAGAGTTGGTTAAATCGGCTCCATTTGTGCTTTGTGGATTGTTGGACATCTTTTGTTTGGCCATGAGCTCATTGATGGGATTGCTTTATTTTTTTAAGGATGTAGGAAAATGTCATTCCTGTATGCTACTGTCTTCTTGCAAATGCAGAAAAGGGAGAGGCAAGAGTATACAAATAAAAGGGCATTCTGAAAAAGAGGGGAAACAGGGCAAGGGAATGAGGCAGGAGGGTCAGGGCTGAGTTCCAGACCCACAAAATGGACAAGCAGACATGGGCACATTTTCCCAAATCCCTCTAAAAAGCAAGCTTGCATGATTCAGAAAAAGCCAGTTCACAGCAGAATCTGTGGAGGGGCTCATGGAAGTGCAAATCCACCTGGATGCATCATGCGTTTCTCCAACTCCCCTGCTACCAGGGTGTGCTGGGGAGCCCCACCTGGCATTCCCAGGCATGTTCTGAACCCGCTGGGCAGAGGAAACAATAAGGGAAGAAACCACCTTCTTTTCAGGAGCAGCACAGCTGGAGCCAGGGTAGGGGGGACAGATGGGCAGCGTGAGCTCACCCCTGTCCTTCCTCACCAACCCGGCTGCAACCTCCCCTGCGCCTACCCGGTTCTGAGCAAAGCAGGCAACCTGCCCCACCCCCAAAGACACGGCACACGCTGCGCCTGGAAGACTGTTGCACCCTTCTCCCTCTTTGGGGGATGTCTTTTGGAAAATGTTATTCGCATGAATGGTGGACCCCATCATTTTGGGGGGCTCAGTCCTCCCAGGGGGGCAAGACTACATGACACATTAGTGGAAGCACACTGAAGCCTGGGCCAGAGCGGTCTCAGCACTGTCATGGCAGGCCAGCCTTCCTCAAGCTGGTGCTCTGCAGATGGCCAATGCTTCCTTGAGTGCCCCCAGTGACAGGGCCCCACCACCTCCCGGGGAAGCCCATTCCATATCCTAGGGGTCCAACCATCAGGAAGTCCTTCCTGGCATCCAGCCTGAAGCCTGACTCCTTGAGCTCTGTCTCTCTGGAATGCATGCTTCCCTCCACCACAGGGCAAAACTGGTAACTGTGACTGAGTATGACTCCTATCATCCCCAGTCAGCTTTGATGGAGAACACGTCTGCAGGGCACCAGCTTAGGAATGGCTGGAATCATCCTTATGCTGTTTTAACATACTACTGAGGGAACGTGCAGGTTGGTTGGAGAAGTTACATTTCTGTGGTGGAAAGGACACACCTTCTCTCTTGTGCACGGGGCTCATTCCAAGGGCAAGCAGCGTGCACACACAAGAATATTCCAAACAGCTGGTAATACACCACAGAGCAATCCATAGTCTTCTGCCACACCCTGAATGAAGAAGACAAGCCAACTTGCACACTGATTTACTTTTGGCAGCCACTGCAGAGAAGGAATAAAATCTGTGCTGTTCATCTCTGATGTGCAACCAGGAAGGGTGGGAGGAGAAGCCCGGGTATGAGGGCAGGCCCCACTGGATGGACAGGAGGAGGTGTCATGCCCGGCGCTGCCCTTGGGTGCCGTGCCAGGCAGGGTTGAGCTAACACTGCCACCTGCCGGCGCATTCCAGAAATGCTGAGAGCTCCTTTGCGCCCTCTGTTGCGCAGCCAGTACTGAGCAGGACACGGGATCGGATTGGGGGAGCCGCTCCGGCTTCTGGTCCTCAGAAGGGTGGCGGCCACATGAGTCTGCTGCATGTGCTGCAGCAGAAGCAGCTGTTTCCTGTGATGCCGAGCCCCGTTCACTACAGGGGCCGGATTCAGTGTGGCTGAAGCGCTCAAGGGCCGCATTCTAGGCATGGGAGCCAAAGCCCAAAAATGCCCACCTGCTTAGGCCTGAAGCTTTTATTGCCAGCTCCTATGTCTTAGC